CTGAGGATATAGCTAAAAGGATCTAATGACCTTCTCTCCTGATTCCCCTTCTACCCAATAGTTCACAACGTCAAGAGACTGGTTTGTACATCCAAGGCAGGAGGAACAACTGGCTTGGACCCTATAATGATGAGTCTAAGTCTTAAACCAACCGGGGCAGTCATGGGGTGGGGTTGGTGGACTCTGACAACTGGCCCTTCAGAAAGACAAAGTAGACTAGGACAGAGTAACAACGACTTCTAGCACCACATGGAGTATATTTTACTAAACGTGGTAGCTCAAAGGGGTGCTGTGGGAATGGGTTTATTTGAAGAAATAGACCCACACACGAAGAAAGAGCATGGACCCTCCAGACACCGTGATGGTAGGACTGTGGCATCACAGTTACCTGCAGTCTCAGGACTAAGGGCAAGTATAAACATGTCATAAGAAGACTGGAGAAACCAGGAGGTCAGGCTAAAGTCTAACCGGTCCTTCAACCTTCCTTTATATAGGATCACTTGGAAATTTTACTAAAGAGATAAGAAAAGAATGTCTCTTCTTTGTAAAGACTAAATCTTAGACTTTTTATACATGGATGGATTGCCACTTTCTTAGGTCAGGCCATTATCAAATCATATCTGGATGGCTAGCTGAATGGCCTCCTAAGTGGCCACCCTCCTGTCTCTTCATCTAATCTTACCATCCATGCTAACAAGTTTTCCTAAGGCATCACTCAAATCCTCTATTTCCTCTACTAAGAAACCTCAAAAGGCTATGAGATCAAATCCACTCCAGGCTGGCATTTAAGGCCCACTATGGTCCAATCCTATGGTCCATCTATCACAATCTCTTTCACACTACCTCCCACTTCCCCTTCATCTATTTGAATTTTATCCTTCAAAGTCTAGCTCTGAAGTAGTCAGAATAGGATGCTGAAAATTCTGAAAATTCTTCCCAGATATAGGCTGAGAGAGGAGAACCTGTAGGTTTGGGAAGCAATGAGATCCCATTGGTATTTAGGGAAATCAAGCCAGACGTTTTTGGCAAAGCCTTCCTGGATCCCCAACCTCATCCCAATCTCTACTGACCTTCTGTCCTACCTATGAACCTATTTCTCCACCCTGACCTTATTAAGATATAATTGACATAATATTGTGTAAGTTTAAGGTATACAATGTGATGATTTGATACATATATATAGCAAAATGTTTACCTCAATAAGGTTAGTTAATACATCCTTCACCTCACATAATTATCATTTTTATTGTTGTTGTTATGGCAGGTGAGAACATTTAAAAATCCACTCTTAGCAACTTTCAAATATACAATATACTATCATTAACTATAGACATCATACCATGCTGAGATCCCCAGAACTTACTCCTCTTATAACTAGAAGTTTGTACCCTTTGACCAACATTTCCCCATTTCCCTAACCTCTACCCCTGGCAACCACCACTCTATGCTGTTTCTATGAGTTTGGCTTTGTTAGATTCCACATATAAGTGAAATCACATAGTATTTGTCTTTCTCTGACTTAGTTCACTTAGTATAACACCCTCAAGATTCCTCCATGTTGTCAACAAATGGCAAGATTTCATTCTTTTTATGGCTGAATAATATTCCATTAGATATATATACTATTTTCTTTATCCATTCATCCATCGATGGACACTTAGTTGTTTCCATGTCTTAGCTATTGTGAATAGTGAACATTTGGGTGCCGATATCTCTATGAGATAGTTGATTTCATTTCCTTTGGATAAATACCCAGATGTGGGATTGCTGGATCGTATGTTCTATTTTTAATTTTTTTAGGAACCTCCACATCATTTTCCATAGTGGCTGTGCCAATTTACATTCCCACCAACAGCAGCACTTATCATTTATACCTCTCCTTTTGAGGTCCCTCTGAGTAGGGAACTAATGTAAGATAAGCTGGGAACTGCTCACGGAAGACCTTGAATGCGTCGCTTAGGAGCTGAACTTTATTATACATTTTAAAGCAGGTAAGTGATAAGCTGAAGATGGTGTTAGAGGAAAATCTATCTGGTGCTGTGCAGAATGAATTAGAAAATACAGTTTTGCCCCAGAAAATCAAGAGAATTATTTCAGTAATTCAGGAGTGAGGAAATAAGTCAAAGGTGGTATCAGCTGCAAAGAAAAGAATGTAGGAAGCATTCTGGAAGAAGAATCAACAGGACTTGGCAATTCGCTGGATGTGGAGGAAAAGAAGGGGAGTTGTCAAAGATGAGCCAGGGCTTCAAGGCTTTGTGACTGGAAGAACATTGTTGTCACACTTTCATGTATTCATCTGGCAAACATTTACTAAGCACACAGTGGGCACGGAGATGAATAGTAGAGAAATACCTGTCTTTAAAAGGTCATAACCCAGTAGGCGATAAATGTACACTTATAACAAGGCAAAATGTGAAATTACTTTAGAAGAGGTACAAATGCTATTAGTGACACAGTAAAAGAATCACAGAGAAGTCAGGAGAACTAGTTGTACTGCAGAGGTGACTGCAAAATAATACCTGCTCGATAAACCTACTCTGCATTTTCCATGCCATCCAAGTGTGAGACACAAATAAAGATCTTCTGCTTCATTACATTCTGATGGTTGGGCTTGGAAAGGGTTACCGAATTTCAGCATTAAAAATACAACACATGCAGAATCTGCTGGGGAAGAGGAGGGGCTGAGTTGGGCATCGGAGGAAAGTGGAATTTAGATATTGATGGATGTTGCTGCTGGAATCCAACGAGGAAGGCCAGACACTGACTTCACAGGCAGCGACATATTATACCCTTGTCCACTTCCTTGCTTATTATGGTTCCCAAAGGGTTGAAAACTGAAGGTGGGTGGAGAGAGGGAGAGACAATGAAATACAGCACATTTCTGAATAAAGAGCTTGTTTTAGAAAGCTTGAGTTAGAGAACCTCTTGGTACATCTTTATGGAGCCCCAACTCTCCTCCAGGCTCTAAGATGGTAAATGACTATTGACTCAGTTATTTAGGAGATGAACTGAGAATCTAGTTTGTGGATTAACTGGCCTTTTGCTTTTCCTTTTTTATTCTTCTATCTGCTTTTTGGGCTCTTCATTACTTATTAGAATTTCTACCAGAGGGTGGAAGTAAAGAATATTTAATCTTAAAAACCGGTTACTGACCTGGATACGTGGTGATTAACACTATCAAACAACAAGAAGTGTAGCGATTTTATTTCGCTGTGCTTTTACTACAAACTACTGTGGTTTAACTTTTTTAATAGGAAAATGACCTCAGAGTAGATCATCATTGTATCCAGTAATAGAGGGTGCCCTTAAACAAAATGGCAATTTCAGTCGCGTTAATGGAGTGCTGAATCAGTAGCGATCCATGTAAACTGTTGCTTGGACACCGGGCTCGGCAAAGACGACTTGCCGCTAAAGTTTCAGAACCAATTTTCAACCAGTCACGCCCTTTTCAAAGATGGCGGGCCCCACTTCTCTTACCCAATGTGGACGTTTCCGATCGCTTCCCAGGAACTGAAGGTTAATCTAACCCAGTACTACTTCAATGACCAAAGCTAAAATGGCAGCCACATCCCTTTAGAATTTACAGGTAGTGAAGCCACTTTTTATTTTTATTTTTCCCCGATCAATTAAAACGATCTCTTATGTCTGGCTCTTCTTTTTTGGAGGCGTGGTTGCCAGGAGTTAAAATGGCTCCTCCCTGGGATAGATTTAATAGGAAGTGAAGCTGTGACCACAAGGCGTTGCCCGGCCATTCTCTACTTGGCGTTCGCGGAGGCAGTTCCTTTTGCCCATACTAGAGATGGCGCTGGCCAGCGTGTTGGAGCGGCCGCTACCGGTGAACCGACACGGGTTTTACGGACTCGGGGGTCGTGCGGATCTGTTAGACCTCGGTCCAGGTAGCCCCAGTGATGGGCTGAGCCTGGCTGCGCCCAGCTGGGGTGTCCCAGAGGAGCCAAGAATTGAAATACTTCATGGAACCACCACCCTAGCTTTCAAGGTGCGAACCCAGCCACCGAGCTGGGCTTAGTCCCGCGCGCCCGCGCCCTTCCCGGCCTCTCGGCCTCCCCGCCGGACTGGAGCCCACGGTGGTCGCGGCCACGAAGCCTAAGCTTAGGCTCGGGCCTCTCGTCCCGACCCCGGCGGTTTCGCTCTCATTGCCCCAGAAGGCCTCAGTTCTCGCTCTGGCCAGAGATAGCGGGGGGAGCGGTGGGGTTAGGGGCTAAGTGGGAGAAGGAAGCCGAGGCTGCTTAGTTTGATTCCTAGGCGACCCCAAGTTGCTTCTGTCCAGGATAGGGCAGGTCGCAGAAGCAATGAACATTGGCAAAGGGAAGGCAGTTGTAACTATTCACCAAAGGTTTCGGAAACTGGGCGGCCCCTCTAGGCGAGAGTAACCAAAACGCTATGGCAAGAGAGGGAAGCTTGGTGAGAAGGACCTCTGTACTAGAAGCCAGACTATTGAGATTCCTGGCCCAGCTTTGCAATAACTAGCTTTACGATCTCAGGCAAGTCATTTTATCTCATTAATCCTCATCTATAAAATAGAACATCGTTTATACCTGTGTCACAGGACTGATGTGAAGCTCAAGTGACAATATGCGGGCAAATATATTGTGAAGTACAAAAAGACGACAGAGAAAGATGTTCTGGGTTTGCATAGATGCAAAAAGAAATATGAAGGAAGTGTTTTTGTGGTCTGATGTGGCCTGCTTGGTGTTTTCCTCTGATTTTCAGTTTCAGCATGGAGTCATTGTTGCAGCAGACTCTCGGGCCACAGCGGGTGCCTACATTGCCTCCCAGACAGTAAAGAAGGTGATAGAGATCAACCCCTACCTGCTGGGCACCATGGCTGGGGGTGCAGCGGATTGCAGCTTCTGGGAGCGGCTATTGGCTCGGCAGTGTCGAATC